AATTAAATAATTTTAATTCTTCATTAGTCAAAACCGAATAAAATGCCAATTGGCGTCCGATTAAAATAAAAGTGTAATCATTTCCCTGCAATCCTGATTTCAGGCGAACGACATCATATATCAATGCCTCTTACTCACAAAATCATATCTCGATGAACCTATACAATATAATCAGATTCTGAAAAAACGATCTTGTGAACGGAGGAGTCAATATCATTTTAAACAAAATTCCTAAGATCGAGATCAAAAAGTAATTGACCTGACATTGAGTGATTAGTAAGAATATAAAACTTACGTAAATATAATAGCCCCCTACAAGCCACAGTCCAAACACTAATTGGAATAAGCATACAATGAACCACAAGATAAGCCAAGGAAGCAACCATCCTCTTATTCCTTCCTTTATACCATATACCATCAGTCCTCCTGATGCACTCAGGAGGATGAGACAAAATATGAGGAAGCCTCCAACAACTTGCATAGCTAAAAAACAACAATGTAATGATATGGATTACTATTGGAAAATTTATGTAACTTACATCCTCTAACATCAGCCTCGAATAGTGGATTATACAACTGAGTTGAATCGCCTCCATTTAATTGGTAACAGATTAATGTGATAAATACTATACTAATGGCCTAAAACAAGAAAAATTGAATTAACATTCCTAAAAACTAATGAATATTGTGAAAAAGTAATTATATTCGACTCAGAGTGCATACAATTGTGTAGAAGGCAATGGCTTTGCATCCTGTTTTGATATTGTTGGTCCAAATGAATGGTGACCAACAAGTCTCCAACATGACCATGTTTCTATTAAAATAAAAATTCACCTGTGATTACAATTGTCACATACATTAGACACTACGGTGCAATAAACGCAGATGATCCAACTAATGATCCACCCACTAGCTATTAATGCACTAGCTGGCGGCGCTGGCGCTAGCTAGCTTGGGCGGCTTGGGCGTCGACACAACATGCGTACCAATACAAGAACTTTAAAAAGATTCGAACGAATCAGCTCATGGATAAGCTAAAAGATGCGCGATGCGCTATTCTTGATTTAAAATTTGATTAAAACTCGCAATTCAAGTGGGAAATGTTTGTCACTTTATTCAATATTTTGTATAACAGAAATGAGTATGTCAAATATTCATACATATTATTTATTAGAATCAATTAACAACTATAATTATACATTTCACTATACATCTATTTAATTAATTCAAATGTATAATGTTCTCCTTTTCCTGGAACCTGTTTTTCCATCTGAAAAGAAATCATGATAAGATCAATATTAACCAATTAACAGAAGAAACTATAAATGTAAGATTATCTTACAAAAGGTTGACTCGTGTCTCCTAACACACGACCAATTACAATTATTGACAAAAATATAGCCCAAAATATAAGTGTAGCTTTCTGATCACTAATATGTTTCCGAACACCATAATCGTATTTGTCTCCGAGCATTTGGTCATTAAACTTATGGATCTATAACGAAAATAGTACAAACAAGTGCAGCAAGTCATTAGCTGAGATCTACTATTATTAATTTATAATTAAGTATTTAATAATATTAATAAGTTACAGGTTCCCCATAATTTCTTCTCATAGCAGGCATATCCCAAGGATAAAATGGGTCACGAGCATCATAACTTATCCATGGCAGATCTGGATAATCACCAGAATGTCTATGATCATTTGGAAAAGGTTTATAGTCATCTATATGCAAATTATATTTTTCTGCAGCCTTTTTCCTTTCTTCTTCAGTTTTTGGATATGGACCTGGCGTATGTTTTAACTGAGCAGGAACTAAAAAAAATAAATATAATATTGTTGAAAATCCAGATTAATGAATCAATCAGAACTTAATTGTAATGGATTATTAACTTCTTAAACTCCAAGACATGGAAGAGATAAGATGTTGTCAGTTTTAAGTTCTTGAAAAATCGTACAAAAATATATCTAAATGAAGGAGAGATTTCTATTTTATTGAGGGTAAAGAAAAGCCAAACAGCTAGGAAACCACATAAGTGTCAGGTGCTTTTGAGTTCTATAGTATAATCCTATTATTTGTGAAAAAATTGTAAACAGTAATATAAAGCAGTCTTGATTTGTATGTTTGAAAGAAAAATGGAACACTTTAAGGGACTATGTTGAGATACAGCAATACAATACATAACACTTTTAGTAAAACATAAATAGGGTTATCAATTTCAAGGGTTAACATATAAACAGCCTTTTCAGGTAATT